CTCTTGCTGTTATCCAGACTGAAACAGAAACCATCATCCGAGGACTTGGAGCAAATAAGTGGGAAGATCTGACTCACATTGTCAGAGACTCTCTCTGACTCACTAGGCCCAGGACAGATATGCACGGAAGCCATTAGGAAGCTACCACAGAAACCTCTCCAAGGGGTGACTGCTGCCAAACCAGGGTGGTGGCAGCACAGGTGATGAGGCATGGTCAGATTCTGGAGCTGTTATGAAGCTGGAGCCAACAGCTTTGCAGAAGGAATCCATATGGGAATTAAGAGAAGGAGACTCCAAGGATTTGGCCTGAGTACCTGGAAGAATGATTTGTCACCTGTAGAGAGGGGCTGATGGCAAAAGAAGCAAAATCTGGGAGTAAGATCTTGAGTTTACTTTGGACATATGTTTAAGATGCCTATTGGACATCCAAACAGAAATGTCCACTAGACAGTTAGATCTTTAAGTTCAAAGCTCAGAGTAGAGGTCACAGCTTATAGGGGGTATTTAAAGCCATGAGACCAGATGAAATAACAAGGGAGTAAAAGCAAATAGAGAATTTGAAGGATGGAGGCATAAGACTTTCTAGGTGAAGAAGTTACAGACACAGAAAAGCTAGAAAAGTAGATTGAGAAAAAAGCAGCCCATTAAATAAAAGGAACAGGAAAGTATGGTGAGCTGAAAACTAAGTGGAATAAAAGATATTTCGAGGAGGAAAGAGAGTAAGATAAGCACTATGAAGTCACAGACCAACTTGACCATGGCATTTTATGGAACAGTAGAAGCAAGAGTGAGTTTCAAAACAAAATGTGAAACCCATGAGCACACAACTCTTGTGAGCTTTGCCATGAAGACCAAAGGAATGGGTGGTGAGCTGGAGGAGACATGGGGTCAAGGCAGATTCCTTCCTCTGTCTCTTTCTGGGAAAATTATAGCATATCTTTATGCCGATGGAAAGGATCCAGTTGGGGAAAAACTGGATCATGACAGAGAGACAGACAGAAAGAGTACAACTGCTAGATCGTGTCCTTGAATCGGCAAGAAGAGATGGAATCCAGGGCACCAGGGGAGCGCTGGCATTAGCCAAGCACACAGACAATTCAGCCACAGCATCGAGGGAAAAGGCAGCAGGTGTGAGGGGAGCTGCAGGGAGGTAGGTTGGCATGAAGGAAAAAGCTTGTGAAAATTCTCTTATGATTGCTTCTATTTTCTCAAGAAAATAGAAAACAAGGTCACCAGTGGAGATAAAGGATGGTGAAGATCTGAGGGAAGAAAAGACAGAATAAAGTCATCTAGGAGAATGTAAAGTTAATTTAGGATACTGGTCACATATATAAAGGAAGGCCAGGCAGGAGGGTCAGTCAGCCAGCCAGGAGTGAGAGCACAGAACACTGAGAGGAGAGCAGAATGAAGGCTCGGGTTTCACTGGTTCCACTACAATCCAGCAAGACCACGAAAGGGAGCTAAGAGTGTATGCAGGGGACTAATTCTAACAACAGCCCAGGAATGTAAACTGTGCAAGGAAGTGGGGGATGGGGGAATGATGGAGGGGAGGTGAGAAAAAGGTGTTAGGATCAGGGCATGTTAAATCTCCACACTGAAGAATTGTAGGAAATGGGAGTGCTAGAAGAAGTGAACTGGAAAAAGAAGTGGTAGGTGGAGAGTAGGATGCTTCATTGTAAGATTATGCAAAAGAACTTGAGTGGGTTATGTCACAGGCATGAGCGGGTGAGGCAGACAACCACAGGGACAGGGAAGGAGTGTCCCGGAGTGATGGGAAGGACACACGCACAGACACAGAATCACCACGAAAAAGGCACAGAATCAGAGAAAGATTAGAAACGAGGAGCAACAATCCTCCAGCAGGGAGCAGAAAAGGCCTGGGAGGTGAGCAAATGGCAGGACTAGGTTACAGTCTGACGACATGAGATCCAAAGTGCTGGAGAGTAGTCAAAGGGAGCAGGAGGGCACCTCCTCAAACTCCAGGACCAGCCAAATGAGGGATGTGGGCAGAAGCGAGCCATCACATAAGCGGGTGGCAGGAACGTGTGCCAAGATTCTCCGAGCAAGAAAGTGGCAGTTGAAGATACAGGGGTTTTGTGCATGAGTTAACTCTCAGTTCCAAATGGCACAAGCAGAAAGTTTCAGAAGCTAGAGGAAAGTGGAAAATCAGGTCAGAAATGGGACGTCTAGAGACAGGGGGGCAGAGTCCAGGGTGCAAGGAGTCTGGATGTTCTGGGTTCCACGTGCTCACCATGATAAAGAGGAGTGACAGGCAAAATGTACTCATTAGTCCTGACAGTCCCAAAGCAGATGGCAGAGGGGAGGCTGTGTGCTGCGGGGAAGGGGAAGGCGGCCTGCCGAGATCACAGTGAGTTCTGTGGACATCTCTCTACACCTGCCATGACAACAGGGACATGAGGGAGGTGCTGTCTTAGCCAAACGACAGGTGCTCTGGGGCTCCCTCCTGTCTCAGAAACACAGAACTCTTTCCTCTCTATTCCTTTTTTCAAGTAGTTAAGCACTAGATAAAAATCTATAAATTCTTGTCCTTTTTTCTCCTCTTCTTCAGTCAACTAGCCTATGATCTTGAGACTCAGCATCTTAATTCATCTGCACAATATTTAGTGCTTAATTAAGATGTGCAATAAGCAAACAGGGAAAGGAGAAAGGGTAGAGAGTGGCTGATAACAGGATGGCTTACTCAGGATACCAATTAACATTATCACAGCACACAGCTTTGCTTTACTTTACTAACATTCCATGAAACAATAACAATATTAACAGGAACAAAACCTCCCAATAACTTTATACCTATAGCACCATCAAGTGTCAAATAAACAAGTGAGAAGTCACAGTCAGGCATTCCAACACAAAGCTACACTGATTATTTTTAAAACCAGGCATGAAAATTCAACTCCAGCAATATCATAACTAACACAATAACTCATGTTACTTTAAAAAAAAGTAGTGTTATTTCTACAGTGAAGCACTTCTTGGTGCTGGCTGTCACGTTGTTTCGCATAACTGTACAACGGAGCTCAGAGTAAGCCACGCTGACACCCCAAAGATTCCTGCAATGCACACTACGTATTCCAACACACACTAAGAAAGCACCGCCAGTAACTCTATGATAAATCAGCAAAGGAATTTGTATTTTTAAAAAAGTATTTTACTCTCATTATTCTGGAATTCTTTTTACTAGCAAAAGTAAAACAATAAACACTTTACTTTTGTTTTATAATTTAAAACAGAGAGTAACTGTTATAACAAAACACAATAGTCATAATACTAGATTAAATAAAATCCAGGGGGATGGTTTCTCTTACTAACCTCCTATTTCTATTTTCTTAAGAAATGGTGAGTCGTGATTTTTTCAGTCTTGCTTTCCTACACATATTTCTAAGCATACTCTACTGAAGCTCACGATCCTTAATCTGTATTAGTCAAAATGTCCATTTTGCCACAGAACCATTTATGTTATAAACATAAATCATTTAGCTCTTTATTTTCCACCTGAAATAGTCCACAGTGGCTAACCAGCAGCAAACAGCAAAATCATAATTATCCTAACATATCACTTAAGAGTTTCACTGAAAAGATTTCAGACAGTCTACCAAACGGATCACAAATAGTGCACGGCCTACCAAAATGGTGTGTAAAACAATTAATTTAGTATTAGTTATCCCCCCATCCTCCCTCCTCCCCAGGTCCATCCGTCTCTTCTCTGTAACATTTCGACGCCAGGGAAGTGTTTTTACTGATTTTGGCTTGGCTTCATTTTATGAGACATTCAGCCATCTAGCAAGGGTTTCCTTTTCCACTTCTTTACATATGGTCAGCCACTTTTAAATTGGAGGAGCCAGAGGATTTATAAAGATTCTAGAAAGGCCTTTTTTATTTTTCCTGCTGTGGAAGGGGAAAGTGAGAAAGGCTGTATTTCTGGATTTTGTTTTGTTTTGACTGAAGTCAATTCAAGTTCTTCAGTTCATGGGGGGCTACATTTTACTCTTCCTGGGTGTCAGCCTCCTCATCTGTGAAACAGAAGCGGCGGCTGCCTGAGGCTGAAACCATCCCACAGGCAGGCAGGCAGGCAGCAGCTTGACACATACTCTTCACCACGCAGGCAGGCTCACTGCACAGCAGCATGGTTATCCAAATAGGATACATTTATTATAACATTCACTGCTTTAAGGAAACTTTATAAAGCTGACATTGTTGACTAAAGTTTATATCTCTGAAATTAAACAGGTTTAAATATTAAAGTAGTTTTAATTAAGTTAGAAGAATAAAAAACATATGTAGTTCCAGTCTAAAAGTTTATCTGTATCAAATTATAGAATGTTACTGACAAGAACCCTCTAGAACAGATACAAACTGAAATTCTTGGATCTAAGAAAAAAGCTCTAAAATATTATGAACACTTTTGGGGTGATGATTTACATTCACTATTTATAACTGAAGAAAGTAGGTATCTACCTATTTCTCAGTATTTCATAAACTAATCTTCTATTTTATACCTACTCTTGAATCATGTTTCTGAAATGCAGTTAGCTATTAATTATCTAATCTTGTTGGCGGGAGACTGGTTTTTCAACATTTGAAAATTACTTAAGTAAAATTAAAGAAAATGTACCTATACTATCTGTTAAACTGTATCATTACTCTTTTCTTCATTGGTTCCTCAAAAATGATCAGTAATTAAAAATTAAACTTTAAAGTCATATGCTTAAAACATAAACACAGTTGGCAGTAGAGAGGTGCCTAGTCCCTCAGTGGCCAAAGTCTCACAAAGAATGGGTCCTGCTCGGTTACAGCTCATCTCAGCCAGGGTCTGCAATAAACCTCGCTTCACCAGGGAAGTTCTTTTGTTACTCTAAAGTGTCCTCCTCTTGCAGCAGCACAAGATACAGAGAGGTTTATATTTTTTCCCTTCAATTATCTATCTTTTTGCAATTAAAGAGGTTTTTTTATCCCAGTCTAAATATGTAATATATACATACCATTTAGTCGTCTCTGGAGTGCTTCTTCCTCTAAGGTAATGATATAAATCTGTTCATCCAGGTCTTCAAGAATCTAAATTTAAAGATAAAACTATTCAACAATGCAGCGTTACAAAACTAATGCTTATGAGACCATTGAGGCTTTTTGGTCTATTTATTTTAGATAATGTATTCATTCAAATTTCTAAGAACCCAAAATAAAAAAGCTCCAACTATTTTATTTATAAATTAAATATAAATACTTTAGTATATAACCAAACACATCAAAAGTTATCACAAACCCTATATACATTTAAATTGGATATTTTTAAAGTTTAAGGGATTAAACTAAAGAACTCTTCTCAATGGCCAACAAATGTATGAACTTTAGGGTTTTTTAGTGACATTCTGAGATGCGGGTTACATGTATGAATTTTTTTATTACTTATTTATTTATTGTTTATTTGTTTGTTTGAGACAGAGTCTCACTCTGTTGCCCAGGCTGGAGTACAGTGGCATGATAATCTCAGCTCACTGCAACCTCTGCCTCCCGGGTTCAAGCAATCCTCCCACCTCAGCCTCCTTAGTGGCTGGGACTACAGGCGCACACCACCATGCTCAGCTAATTTTTGTATTTTTAGTAGAGACAGGTTTCACCGTGCTGACCAGGCTGGTCTTGAACTCCTGACCTCAGGCTATCTGCTTGCCTCAGCCTCCCAAAGTGCTGGGATTATAGGCATGAGCCACCATGCCTGGCCTACATGTATCAATTTTAAACAGTCAAAAAACTAATTGCAGTAAATAACTACAGTAAATACACGCCCAAGCCAATATTTTAGAGATAGAAGGAACAGACACCCAGTCCAACATTTGTTTTTTCATTTACATTTACCTACATAATGTCTACAACAAGAAATCCATAAACTACATCAGAAACATGCAATACTTTCCATTTATATCATCTATACGTACTAAAAACGCTCCATGAATATTAAAGATTGGTATTATCAAAATCATCCAATAGATCGAAATCTAGAGAAGGGGTATGTTTACATATAAACCAAGTTATACAACAGTAGTTCAAAAAAAAAAAAAAAAACCACACTAATAATTTACCAATTGTATGGGATATTGTCTGCATTGTTAAAAAACCTAAAATTGATTTAATTCTAGTTTTGTTAACATAGCTATCCTTCTGAGAGGATCCTTATTATCTTCCTAGCTGTAGGGAAAATCTGAAAGAAGTCTAGAGCTGCTATCAGTGTTCCATATCTTCACCTTCAAACTACTTACACTCAACAAAAAAATAAACTGTGAGGAGCTAATGGACAAAAAGATAGAAACCATATATACATCTCCTTTCAGATTTTAAAGTATTTTCAGAAGACAGATTTTCAAATCATGCAATCCCTGTCAGATGTCAAATTTATACAGCTGGTGTGAAATTTATTTGAAGCAATCCAATAATTCCCAGCCTTTCAACAAATCTTTACGGTCCCCTCTGACCTAGCACTGAACTCATCACTGGCACACACACCAACTTGATCCTTGAGAAGCCTGACTTGGAAGGTGAGAAAAAATAAATACTAAAATAATAATCACCAGTAATCAACAAATAAATATACAAACAAATAATGACAAAGAATGACCATCCTATGAGGAAGAAAGCAATAGGAAGAAAAGGGGAAGGGATACCTAAACGGCCAGCCAGCAAGCCCTCTCCAAAGAGGAAACATGTAGGCTGAAAATGCGTGCTACTCCTGAGGAGAAAGAGTGCTACACAGAGAGGATCTACTGGATGCAATGGGTCAGGGGAGAGGAATCCCAGAGAAAACCCACATGTCTGGGACCAGGTCCTTGGGGGCCATCATCCGAAGTTCCTTTCCCATCAACACTTCTCTTCACTTTCTACTATCTGGATCAGAACTGACATTTTTTTATAACGCATACAAAATGATTTTTATCTTTCTTATGCAAATCATCCAAGAATTATTTATCACCACTGGTATGTCTTAGGTGAATGCGTGACTGATGTAGTTTGGCTATTTGTCCCTTTTAAACCTCATGTTGAAATCTAATCCCCTGTATTGGAGGTGGGACCAGGGGGGTATTTAGGTCATAGAGGTGGATCTCTCATGAATAACCGATTTGGTGCTGACTATACAGTAATAACTGAGTTCTTGCTCTATTTGTTCACATGACAGCAGGTTGTTCAAAAGAGTGTGGACCTCTCTCTTGCCTGCTCCCTCTCTTGCCCTGTGACACAAATGCTCCTCGTTCAACTCTCGCCATGATCGGAAGCTTCCTGAGGCACTAGCCAGAGGCAGGTCCCACTGCCATGCTTCTTGTACAGCGTGCGGAACCTATAAGCCAAATAAACCTCTTTTCCTTGTAAATTACTCAGTCTCAGATTTATACCAATGCATAATAGACTGATGCAGTGGCAATGTGAACAACACACACATATTTGTGTTAAGTGCTTATGAGCACCATCCTCCTTGATTTCTACAACACTCCTATGAAAAACAGACTGTTCTCATCTCCATTTTATATTCCAAGAAACAGGGTTACCAAAGAAATGTTACGTGCCTTCAAAGCCTATACTCAACTACTATGGGCTAATGGGGGCTTAAATATGGGTAAGACATAGTCCTTGACCTCAAACGGCTTATATTCTAGTGTAGCAGAAGAGATCAGATGAATTAAAAAAATAATTAGAAGATCTGTGAAAGTCATAATGATAGCTTAAATAAAACATTACAAAAGTTCAAAGGAAGAAAAACTATTCCCAGATGGAGAGAAAAAGTTTTGGCCAGTGTTTTTGATGGTAGTAGCATAGTAGCATCTTATCTGACAGCTTAAACTACCAAAAGAAAGGCATTTCAATCAGAGGAAACTGAAAGCAAAACACAGAAGTGGAGGGGTACAAAGTCTACTCGGCAAGAAAGCGGTTTTACGGCGCTGGAGCTTACAGCCAAATAGAATAGCAGAGCATCCTCTGGTCTGAAACCAGCCTCTTGGGTTCACATTCTGCCCCGTCATAGATCTCTGATCTTGTACAAGCTACTTAATCTTCCTGAAATGGCACTAGTTAAGCCGTAAAATAAGAATACCACTATCTAACTTACAGGTTTGTCATCAGGATAAAATGAAATTATGTGTGTAAAATACAGTGTTTATTGCTAGCATATACAATACACTCAATTACTCAATAAATAATCTTTATTACTGAATGTTACCAACAAGAAAAGAAACAAAGATAAGACTCTGAGGACACTGTTAATGTTAGAAATGCAAAATGCTTGTTCCCCGGTGCCACAAAGAAATAGCACCCAAACATTAATTTTGTCAGCAAGGCAATTTTTATTTCTACAGAAGGGTGAGACTCGCAAACGGAGTAATGGCAAGAGCACACCTGGACAGGGGAGGGGAAGGAGTTCTTATTCCTGACACGGGGCCCTACTGCTGTGTCGCTCCCCTATTGGCTAGGGTTGGAACACACAGTCTAAGCTAATTCCGACTGGCTAATTTAAAGAGAGCAGGGGTATGAGCCAGAGTGGCGGGGTGACTAGTCTGGTGGGAAGGACAGTTAGGAACAGGTAATTAAAGGTGACTTAGGTCAGAGCAGGTGACCAGGAGTGACTCAGGTCAAAGAAGGTGACCAGGGGTGAGTCAGGATGGAGCAGGTGACTAGGGAACAGATGTGAACTACTGATAAGGACTGGTGGGAAAGTTGTTTACTGAAACTAGAGGCAAGGGGGAAAACAGAACCAGGAATTTAAACTTTAAAATGGAGAATCAAAGAAGAAGAGAGCTGAACATACTGACATACTGATTCTTTGAAGAGAAACTTGGGGTTCACTATATTTAACATTAATAAGAGACAAGTTAAGGAGAAAAATTAGCTTGGGGAAGGGAGCTAAGGAAGTAGTTTCATTTTATATACGTTGAGTTTTCAGCTCCATGGGTTATTCAATTATAGCACTTAAAATGTACTATAATTTGTTTCCATCGTCTTTTCCTCATTAGAATGAGGCATTTAAAAGTGATGTGGAAATGGCAAGATGGTTTAGGAGCAGAGCATTAACAGAACTTTTGACCAATGATAGAACTTTAAACATTTGCCTATAGTTAGGGGTCAGGAAGCAGAAAAGGAGAAAGAAGACCAAACAAACAAACACGCAACAACAACAAATGTAGGAAGGAACTAAATGAATGCAGGAATGCAGTGTCACAGAACCTCCTTACAAGGGAAAGGAATTCCATGACTTGACAGCACGTGTGTGGCACACAAGTATGTTTACAACATTTATATACTTTTTGTAAAATGTATTTATGCATTTTTATAAATAAAAAATTAAACTTTATCTTTAAAATATAAAAATATTATGATTTTTTAAATTAAGCAAGCATTTATTAAAATAAAAGTATATCCCCTGTAACACTTCCTCAGTATATTCCCTAAATGAATCATGACAAGGAAGACAAACACATAACTATAATGATTTAGTAAGTATTACTAGTGAGACAGAAACAAAAGGGAACATGAGAAAGGCAAAGAAAGGAGTTTAATTATTTGTCCTTGAAGAAGCAAGGCAAGGTTCAAAGCTATGTAGACAGCGGAGCTGATATTTGAGCTAGGCCGCAGGAGGCTGCTAGGTGGCTGGAGCAGGTAAGAGGCCTTGGAGGGAAAGAGACAGTCCTGGAGACAGAATGCACAAAGCCTATTCAGAGCACACCAAGTTCGCTCATGAGCTAGAGTGACAGTAAACAGAGGGACAGCTAGAGGAAAACTTAGCGTGGACCAGGCTGTGAAAGGCTTTGTAACATGTAAGTAGTTTACACTTGAGTTCACAGGCAATGAGGATCCATGAAAGTAAGTGACAAATTTCCTAGGTGTAGCTAAGAAATCATTTTTATATAATTAAATATCTGACAAAATAGAGACCAAAGAAAGCGACAAATCATTAGAATTACAATCAACTGAAAATCATTTAAAAACTAATATATAGTGTTTCTAAGATTAAAGGCAAAGTATGGTTCAATTAATCGAGACATAATATGCAGGCAAATTTTCAGAAATATAACCGTTTTGTAAATTAAAGCATACATGTAAATTTTGAAACAAAATCAACGTACTTTTTGATATTAGGCAATGGACACCTAAAATACCTGTAAATATTTGTAAATTTTGTCCTAAAATTTGCTAGAGGAATTTTTACCTGTGCGCCTATAGGTAGTGTTTTAAAAGCAAAACCAAATTTGGTTTCCAAAGATTGGAAATTTAACCAAAGTTATATTAAAAAAAAAACTTAATAAAACAACAATTTGAGTGATAAATGTACAAAAAATATTCTTTTATTTCTAAGTGCTAGCTCACAATCTAAAAGATGCTCAAATGTAACACATTTATTTAATAAACAAAATGATTTATAATTAAATACTTACTGTTGGCTTCACTAGCAACTGACCCATCACTGTGAACATACGAGAAAGGCCAACTGGTGTACACACTGCAGAAATAAGATCACCAAAAGACAGAAAGCGACATTAGAGAGCTTGGAGAGATAAACAACTAGACCGTAAAAATAAGGGAAATTCAAAGATTATCATTTTAAGAACATTATTCTCTCCAACTGAGATTCTAGTGTTTTGTCAGAGGACTCTTCACCATCATCAATAAACAAGCTAGAGGGGGCCTGTGACGAGGATAGGTGTAATTAGCTCTGAAAGATATGTGACAACAAAAAAAGGCTTAGAATAATATTCAAGATTCTAGCAGTTGAATAATTTAAAATACTTTTGGTTAAAATAAAGAAAAATGAGTAAAGAACGGGTTAAATTTCAAGTATTAATAGGACTGAGAAACAAACAAGAATATCTAAAGGTGACAACCATAGTCTTAAGTCCTTTAAACTACATTTATCTACTTATAACATCCCTGAGATAGGCTGTGATGCTTTAAGTAAAACAAAACAAACTTTTAAAAAACCATGAACTTATCATAATAATTCTACCATTTCCATTTAAAAGTAGAATCTAGCATTATGACAGGTATGGGGATGAGGGTATGGCATGTGTGTATGAGTATGCATACGGTTTGTGTGTCAGTGTATGTAAGTATGAATGTGTGTGAGTGTGTGAGTGAAAGTGTGTGAGTGTGTGTGTGTGTCTGTCCGTCTGTCTCACTCTACAACCCGGTAGAAGAGGCTTTCCTTAGAGAACAATAAAAGCATCTTATTATTTCAAAGTTTCCATTTATCAAAATTTATTTGAATAAAAATAGTTAAGGCGAACTCAAAAAAATCTCCAAATAGTTAAGAAATCTCATCAGAAAACTTCCCTGAATTTTCCAGAATAAGGACAACTCTACTTTTCTATTAAGTCTGAAAAATACTTACAGAGAAGTAACAAACATCCCATCAATGATATACAGGAATATAAATAGGGTAGATAGAACTCCCAGAGATCTATTAAAAAAAGTAAATATATTTTAACAAATCCAAAATATTGCACATTAAGATACAATCAATCTATCTTACGATAAGATAGAGGCTGACTACACCTCACGTAAACATTGTAATTGCCTATTTGAGTTTAAGCCATATAATTTCTAAACTGTACAATAAAAAGATCTAAAATAGAAAACCAAGAAGTAACCCTTTAGCAAAACCTGTTTGGAGGGAGAAAAAAAGTCTCCACGGAATTTGAAGAACAGAAACCAATTAACAACAACAACAGAAAATCTGAAAAGCTGCTTACTTATTCTTCACATATAAAAGAAATAAAACTTCATTTTTAGATAAAGATACCTAAAGATTTCTTAATTCTGTAAATTAACATCAAACATCTTTGTTAACTATACAAAGAATTATTTAAATGTTTTTAAAATTGAGTGTGTAATTATATCCCAAACTATAGTTTCCAGTAAAGAAACCGGCTAAAACAAGGAAATCCATACCATATAAAGATTCCATGCTTGCAGCATCATTGTCAATGAGTGCTGAAGCTACCCACACTATCCCAAGAATGAGTAATGCAAGAAGAAGAAGCATGACCAGAGTCTCTAAAATGCGGGCCCGGATTCCCTGAAAAATATAGTAGAAATATAATTTTAGTATTTTACTTCACTTCATGAACAATAAGGTTTCTGCCTATATGAAAGCATAAAATAATCCCTTGGAAGGAGAAGAAATTTATATTTATGAACAGGAAAAATACACTAAGTACCTATAGTTTACAATGTTTAGACTGACTTTTCAAAATTATGGAAAATATTATCAAGCTTGGATAAAACAAAAAAAAAAACTTCATAAAAAACATCTGCAGAGCCATTTTTAACAATTACTTCCCTAACACTTTCCACTAACAAAGCAGATTAATGAATTTCTATCTGTGATTCTAATCAAGGGAATAGAAGGCTAATGATGGCATAGAGCCAGACAGTCCAGTGAGCACTGAACTCGGGGTGCCACAATGCTCCGAGCTGCTGGAGAGTGCGGGCTCTCTCTAGCATGGACTCTGGCGCTCCTCACAGCCTCCGGAGCCCTCTACTGTGCCGCTGAAGAACTGTCATTGCAACCCAGCATTATAAACTATAGAGATACTGCTTTTACCAATTCTATATGATGCTTTTCTTCACATTCTATAGAATTCTCATTAATCCATGAGACAAGAATACAATAATATAATCATTATGCACAATTTTGTTTTAAATGTAAAACAAATTCTGACCTCAGGACCAAACTAAAGGCCAGACTTTTAAAACTTAAAAACTGCAGAGTAAGACAAAAACAGAAACTTCTTCTACTCCCCAAAAAGTCACCAAATGATTGAATCTGCAGCTATAAGTTAAAGGTTCATGTTGATATTTTGCACTGCAATGCACTAACCTACAATTATCTAACACAACCAACAAAATTATAAATACATCCATATTTCTCAATAAATCATGTAATCTCATTCCACATTTAACATAAAAATGAGTTATAAAATTCCAAAACATACACTTATTTCAATTTTGTCCTAAGTATTACTTTCTAATTTCTGAATTGCAGGAATAGGCACCCAGTTCTTCAAATTCAATAGAAAGGAAAGAAAACGTCCTAAAAGCATGGAGAAGTATACCTAGCCCTAAATGATGACCTCTGAGGTGAAGTGGCTTTTTCTTGCTAGTCCTTCAACAACATCGCAGACTTGCCACAGGGCTGCACTCGGCAAGTTTAAAACACTTCCTCAAATCTGAGAGTCAGCTCACCTTAAGTGTTCATAGCACGGGAGGCCAGTGAACCAGAATGAATCAGGCTGGTATTTAACACATGAGATCTCATAGAAAGCAGCTATTAATCACAGGAGATGAAATGTGAATAGTCACAAAACACATTACAACAAAACACACTACTACTTTGCTGAAGAGTCCTTTGAACTTCCACTTCACAACTTTCAAACTATTCAAGATGCTGATATGGTTTGGTTGTGTCCCCACCCAAATCTCATCTTGAATTGTAATCCCCATAATCCCCATGTGTCGTGGGAAGGACCCAGTGGGAGGTAACTGAATCATGGCGGCAGTTTCCCCCACGCTGTTCTCATGATAGTGAGTGAGTTCTCACGAGATCTGATGTTTTATAAGCGTCTGGCATGTCCCCTGCTGGCACTCATTCTCTCTCCTGCCACCCTGTGAAGAGCTGCCTTCTGCCATGATCACAAGTTTCCTGAGGCCTCCCCAGCGATGTGGAACTGAGAGTGAATTAAATCTCTTTTCTTTATAAATTACCCAGTCTCAGGTACTTTTTCATAGCAGTGTGAGACAGATAACAGACTAATACAGATACCAAAACATAATCTACCACCTGTAACAGTGACTTTTATCTTCCTTTCTTCCTCCTCCCCTCCTTTTCTCTCTAAAATGCTTTTTATTACACATTAAATATTTTGTGGAAAGCCCATCAATAAACGGACAAAAGGAGATAAAATTTTATCGTTGTTCTAGTGTTTGTGTTACACTCTCTCAATTCTGTCTTTCCTTGCCTCCAACCAGCCCCTAAGAAATACATGAACTAAAGGGTGGGGCTCCCAAAACAAGTCACGTATGCATTATACCTGTAATATATATGAACTAAACAGTGGAACAGCGTCAGAAGTGTTATGATATAGGAACGACACAGTGGTAGCTCCTTAGAACCGTTTAAAACCCACTGTCCAAAAGAAGTTATAATTGTCACGTTAAATAATTATAACACTATAACAGTAAGTATAATTTTTAGGATGATAACCAATGTTGGGAAATCAATCACCATAAAATTTACAGACATCCTCTGATATTTTGGTAAGAACTATTTCTTAGCAATTAAACTTGTTTTCTTCAGATATGTGCCTATGTGCTGGGAGACAATGTTCCATGGGTCTCTCACATTTCTGTGCATCCCAAAAGCAGAGGCAGGGACAGATCTTCTTTGGAACTGCCTTCTTAAGGTTTGTACAGCAGACGGCCTTGGGATTTAGAGAGAGTATATCTCTGAAGCAAAGGACAGGTTTGTTTACTGTCTGGTAGCACAATGTTCACCTCCTAGCAAAGGTTAGACAGAGTTGCTTGCAGCCCGATATAAATATGGTGAGTTCCCTAGCTGTGATACAGGTCCACTGTGGGGCTTGGGGTCAAGGGGAACTGGCACCAAAAGGAAGCCTGTGCACTTGGTTATGTGCTGCGCATAACCAAGTCCTTTGTCTCCGACCCAGACATCTCATGTTTACAACCACCATCCATGAAACTGGGAGACTAACTTGTTAGTTTGCAAGCAGAATAAAATCTCAGACCCTTCACAGTTCTTGATGGTTTTTGGTGACAAGGATAGAAGACTAACAGACGGCTTTCTGGAAAAGAGAGGGGCCCATGCAGATTGGCTTAAGGGATATGAGAAGACTCCTGGGATCTATTAACAGTAGTTAGTGCGCGCACCCAAGTGGTGGGCAAGCAGGAGGAGCAGGGACCCCGAGCAGTGCTAGCTGCTGGCGACAGTCTGCAGGCTGAGGTAGGTAGTGAGGCTGAGCCCACTGCTGGCTAGGTTGTTAGTCCCTCTCCTCTGAGCGGAAGCAGGAAGGAATGTCATCATGATGGTGTTGAAAGCGAGCCCAGCAACACTGCTAAAAGATACTGTGGGTATAGTTGCTCAATCAAGGAGTCCCAGAGCTGAATAAACAGTGTCAGGAATGAGGCTACAGACCTATGCCTAAACTGATGTCATTACAAATATGGTTGAGCCATGAGTAGCCACTTGTCGCTCAAAAAGAAAGGCGCCTTGCGATGTGGGCCAGTCACTTTTGCCATGTTCCTTCATCTGTCCTCCCCCTACTCGGACCTCAGATGCTTAGGAAAAAAGATGATGGGGTAAAGTGGGGGTCTCCCTGTCCTTCAGGGGAGTAAAAGCCGTACAGAGCCCCCTGAGCGTGCAGGGGAACTTCAGGAAGGAGAGGGACTCAAACTCAGGGCTCTGCTGAGTACAGCAGCCCACGTCACCATCCTACCTCGTCCTTCACAAAGGACTGTGAGGTGACTGCACAGAAATGTTGGTGAACAATGACAATTTTTTTCTAAATAAAGAGAAATATAAATAATGATATATATAGTTATAAACTAAAATGCAATGCCAAAAAATATTTTTGAAAGAGAAGTCATTTAATAATAATTTCTGATTATCTTATACATAAAGAAGTAGACATTTAGATGAGAAAAAAAGAGTTAAAGAAAAAATTTCATTTTAAATAGGGGTCATTTAAAATGATAGTATTTCACTTTTTATTGACAATAGAGATTAAAGTTAAATAATGCTATTAAAAACTTCTTACCACTAATCTTACTAGTATCAAAATAACAAAACTAGTAACAGTAATAGTAACTAGTATCAAAAGTAGTATTACTAAGATATTAGAAAATAGAACAAAAAAGTAATAGTTAATATAGTAAAAAACGGAAAACAGGTTTAGCAAAATATTAACAAACATAACAAATTATATAAAATACAAAAACAGGAAATGATAAAAACCAAATATATCTACTATAACTATATATACAAATTAGGTCAAAAACCAAAATTAACTGTCTAAGACCTATCAAAACTAAAGTGATACTAAAAGTGAAAATGATTAAAAAATTATGGTTTAATATTTAAAAAATGTAACAGGAATCTGGTTTAAATATAGAAGAATGCAAAACAAAAAACATTAAATGGGATAAAGTAGGACATTTTATACTGATGAAATTTACTATCCACTATATTATTATATTCTTAGATTAACTGATGAGTACACAGGGCTTCATTGTCATTATTCTTCATACTATATTTAAATAAATAGAAAATCGGACTGGGCGCAGTGGCTCACACCGGTAATCCCAGCACTCTGGGAGGCCGAAGCGGGTGAATCACTTGAGGTCAGGAGTTCAAGACCAGCATGATGAAAGCCCATCTCTACTAAAAACACAAAAATTAGCTGGGTCCGGTGGTGGGCACCTGTAATCCCAGCTACTAGGGAGGCTGAAACAGGAGAATCGCTTGAACCTGGGAGGCGGAGGCTGCAGTGAGCCAAGACTGTGCCACTACGCTTCAGCCTGGGCGACAGAGCAAGACTCCGTCTCAAAAAAACAAAAAACTAAATAAATAAATAAAATAGAAAATCTTTATTCATTACATCTACATGTTTACGCAAATTTGATATTAATAAGAAATTCATTTAAAATTTTAAAAATAAAAAATTCCTAAGTATGCGTCCATTGTGATGAGCTGCCACTCCTCAGTAATACCATCAGCTTCGGAGGCAGCCGAAGGTCAGAGAGCCCAGCCTCGACATTAGAGGGCCTCAGGGCACTGAGGGCCTAACTGGGTGGTTTGGCTTCAGCAGTGGATGAGGAAATAGGGTTTCCCCCAGGAGGTCTCTGCCACTTTTTCACACGAAACTTTGATGCCAGGTAGGGCCAGGCAGGTTGAGCTCTAGGACAGACCATTGTTATTTGGCCAGGAGGCCTGTTAAGCCTCTTCCATTTTACTGGGCATGGAATCTAAGTTGCTCCGCCCCAGAAGCGGGATGCCAGGCT